CCAACAATTCAGAAGAGCTAAAAGCCACTATTAGAGCAACCTGGGCTATCATAACACCTGAGCAGTGCCACAGACTGATCGACTCCATGCCACGCCGCATTGCTGCAGTAATACAGGCCAAAGGAGGCCCAACTAAATACTGAGTGCTGTACATGCTCATACTTTTCATGTTCATACTTTTCAGTTGGCCAACATTTCTATAAATCCTTTGTTTTTATTGGTCTTCAGTAATATTCTAATTTTCTGATATGATGAATTTGAGATTTTCATTTGTTGTCATTTGTAATCATCAAAATTAAACAAAATAAACATCTGAAATATATGAGTTTGTATGTAATGTATGCATATAATATACAAGTTTCACTTTTTAAATGGAATTACTGAAATCAATCTACTTTTTCATGATATTCTAATTTTATGACCAGCACCTGTACTTATGGTGAAGGTAATCACTCTCTATCTGTGCTGGTGTTTAAGATTAAACAAAACCAAAAGGAAAAAAAGACATTATTTTAATATAACAGCTGAAGAATTCTGCCATTGATCCTGAAGTTAAGCCTCCACACAAATGTATTTACTAAAAATGAATCTAGTTTTTAGTGGAGATAGAGTATTTACTTATCTGCCTGTTTAACTCAAAGCTGTAAATAAAAGTTTTTAACTATTTGTATGTCTACTGGTTTTGCCAACTGGGACTCACCATCATCCTCGATGCCAAACTCCTGCAGCGCCCTCTCATAATAGTCTCTCAGATGGTTCATCTTGGGGGTCTCCTGCAGATCAATTCAGTTAATCACTAGAGTTAGAGCCAGGCCAAAGCATCTGCAAACTAAATCATTGCGTATTTCCTTTCAGTTCATATTTTCCCTAAATCAGCAATGAACATTTAAATACAATATCTAAGAGTGGAAGTCGAGGTAAAAATGGTTCCAATATGGTCACCAACAGGTTTCTGGGGAGCATGTATGATAATGCTATAATAGTTAGTTGTCTTTTCAAGCAATTTCAGAAAACTGAAATATAATTATAAGTCACTCTAGGAAAAATGTTGGATTTTATATGGTGCTAAATTAGGACCATAACATGTACATGAAAAAAATCAAAAAAGAAACAACGAAAAAATGCAAATCTGTCAAGATCATATTTTACCCCATGAGATTAGTGCTGTGTAAGCTTATTTTATAGGCAAATTATGTAATTTTTCACAGCCAATCACACAGTTCACATACAATATTGATGATTTAAAGACTGTTTCAGTTCCCACGGTCCCTAAATGCTAAAGCTGGGAACAGGTTGTTCTGCCACTCTGTTGAGCTGTTGCAGGCATGCCCAAAGTCGTTCCTGGATGGCCACTGTCCTGCAGGCTTTAGAAGTTTCCCCTCTTCAGCACAGCTGCTTTTCAATGATGGCTGATTAACAGGCTTTTGCTGAACTGCAATCATCAGAATCAGCTGTGCTAAAGAAGGGAAACCTCTAAAGCAGGCATCCCCAAACTCGGTCCTCGAGGGCCGCTGTCCTGCAGGTTTTAGAGGTTTCCCTGCTTTAGCACAGCTGATTATGATGATTGCAGTAGAGCAAAAGCCTGTTAATCAACTATCAATTAAAATCAGCTGTGTTGGGGCAGAGAAACATCTAAAGCCTGCAGGACAGCAGCCCTAGGTGACCAACTTTGGGCATGTGTCATGATTCCACACCCCTGTCATCTGAGGCCCTGCGCCCACATGCCAAACAGGGTCATAAGTTTAAAGGAAAAAGAAAAATCCTGAAAAAAAAATTGTAAAAAAAGTTCTTTTAAAAAAATTAATATAAAAAGCAGTTTTAATTTTGAACAAACTTATTTTTCTGAGTATTTTTTAACAAACTTGTCTTTTACAGGTTTAAACTTTTTTTTAACAAACTTTATGACCTCAATTTATCTCCATATTTTCAGCGCTCACAAATGATTTACAGCACTGTTATTTTCTTATATTAGTGGCACGTTAGGTCTTTCTCCAACTGACTAAGACCAATTGAGGTAGAGCTCTTTCATCTCCATGGCAACAGCTGGAACAGTGGACAGCAAACCTCTCTGAGCGCAAAGATGGGAAATCTTTGAAAATACTGGAAAAAGTCAACATAATCTATAAAATAAAGGAGGGTTATTACTTTAATGTCTATAAAGCAGACAGAAACTACACATGAAGAAATTTTCAGACTCTTTGACGGGAGAGTTGAGGCTACCTTAAAGGTAGCTTCTGTCTCTTCAGCACTTTGGATGGCCATGCTCCACTGAAACTGCAGCTGCAACAGCGGTAGAATTTCCTGTACACGAAAAACAAACACAAAAAGAACAAGAAAAAAAATACAATTACAAGCTTAAACAGTAATGAGAATAAATAGTTTTGCTCTAATATGATGGATTTTGAGGCAGGAGCTTTGAAAGAAACGCAACTTGATTTTTTCTAATGGGGAGGAAAGGCTCAAAATGTAATTTAAAATATTTGGTTGTTCAAAATGCAGCGATTGTTTGAATGATTTAACAGATTAATCAGAAGACAATAAATGTGGACAGGTAATATGCAAATGCAAATCTTTATTTTATTGTATTTGCAAACATGCAAATTCATCATTCATTAAAACAAATAAAGGTATTTCAACACCATCCTGAAAACACTCCTTTAGATATTTGGTGTATTTTCTGCAGGACTTTGCATAGAATATCCCAACAAAGCCGTATTTTTTGCACTTTGGACATCTCTATAGCGTGGAAAGAAGAAATCAATTAATGAAAGAAGGAGAAACCCATTAGTAATTTGATATAAGCCATATAGGTAACCGAGGGTGTGTGGAAGATGGTCCTCTGGTTAAATTAGACTCATACTTGCTGTAGAATAAGAACAATAATCTCTCATCCCTGCGGGGAAAGAAAAGCTTCATAGAGTTTATGGACGAGGTAATCTTTTACAGACTACCATGGCAAGAGGTTGCCCAGCATTTTTTAGGGTCAAAGTTCAGATCTCAATCAAACCTGATCACCTGATCTATACAGGCTGAGCTATTTGGCAAAGAACTGAGCTTCTTCGTGTGTATATTTGCAAAGCTAGAACTAAGAGATAATCACCTCTAAATCTTTCATCAAATTTTTGCTTGTAATTATAAAGTGTTGATTCAAATACATGAAGGTATTAAGATTTCCATTTGTTTGTTGTTGTAATTAGGGGTGTCCTTTTTCATTTTTCATTTCCTGTACGATACTGGTATTGATCTGATTCGATATCAGCAAGAATCATACATACCTTTATTACTTATTTTATAGTGTGAAATTATAGAAAAGGCTTTACCAAATGATATTTCTCAGAGAACAATAACAACATCAGGTATGAGATCAACTGACTCAGTTCTTAGGCCTGCTATGAAGTTACTAAAGCTTCATAACAGGCCTGACCAAAGGCAGTCGAAACCTCTAAAACCTGAAGGACAGCGGCCGTGGGAACCGACTGCCAGCAGGCCTGCTTTAAAGAAAAGGAATATATTCCAATATAATTTTTTTGGCCTACATTGTATGGCTCAATATAAATATAGGATCAGAATAGCCCTGGTTGTAATAATTTGAATAGTGTAAATGCCTTTACAAGGCACTGAAGGTCCCTAAGGCTATGGTCATATTTCAGGCCTTAATGCTCAATTCTGATTTTCTGTTAAATCCGATTTTTCTTTGAGGTCGTTCATCCTTCCAAATAATTGTGACTTGCATGTTATTTCCTGTGTGAACTGGAACTAACTGTCTAAAGGGCTGCAGTTTAGAGTGGTTAAGAGAGGAAAAGAGGATGAATTTGTATTTGTGGAGATTTGACCCGACAGGTCCATGGTAGATAACATACCTAATTTGAGATGTTTTGGAGGTATCCAGTTCCTTGGGTTATGGAATAGGTTTGATCGCACTAGATCAAGAAAAGCATTTGACCATGTCAAATACAGCTTCCTCTGGAGAACGATGGACAGGTTCATCAGAAAAAGATGTTGAAATGTCTGAAGGGTCGGGCACAGGCGGGGATGGGGAGATGGAGATGGACAAGACCTCCCTCATCCTTGGCCCTATCTCAAAGAATTTTTCGAAATAGTCTAAAAATTTAGCTTTCAATTCATATAGTGGCATCTGGCAGTTTTTTTTAAAGGTTACTTTATACTTTTATTCTTTAAGTAGTTTTTGGAGCACATACTTTTTCACTTTTACTTGAGTAAAGAGGTCAAGTTGATACCTTAACTTTTACCAGCATGTTTTTAAACTGCAGTATCTATACTTCTATTTAATTAACAAATGTACTTTAGACACCACTGAAATTGTTCTGCTGCTGTCTTGCATGGTCATCCCACAACTTTCTTATACTGTATTATATTTTCCATTACGGCTACAATTTAAGTCATATTAAGATATGATAACGGTTTTCCACTGCTATATCTTAGGTTTCCAGAGCTAAAATGGGTTTAAGGTTTAATAAACATAAAACCATTGCAATTTTGTATGTTTTTCTTCATCCTTTTTTTCCGGTGCCCCCATTTAAATATAAAAACTGCCACCCCTGCCCACCAGGAAAATTTGGTCTTTTTGTTATTATTATTATTATTATTATTGGTATTATCATTGTATTTTTTTGCTTAATTTTTTTTTTTTTTTGCTGTAACCCAAACTGACCAACAAACTATCAGTCTTTTTATTATTATTGGTATTATCATTTTATTTTATTTATTTATTTATTTATTTATTTTTTTTGCTGTAACCCAAACTGACCAACAAACTATCATTCTTTTTATTATTATTGGTATTATCATTTTATTTTATTTTATTTTTATTTTTTTGCTGTAACCCAAACTGACCAACAAATTATCAGGATTTTGTTGATACTCGTTTAATATTTTCCTCCCACAGGCTGCTTTTATTTTGACATCTTACCTGAGGTTTTGTCATTCTCACATGGCTTGGCTTCAGTCAGCTTTTTCACATAATGGGGTCGTTTCCCCTTCAAAATAAACGCACTTTTACGTCTGTCCATTAAATTAAACTCATTGGCAAAGCAGACGGGGTTCTCATGTTGTCTTTTCCCACTTTTCTAAATATTCCAAATAAGCTGCAGTCTCTTTGAAGCCTTTTTAATAGATTTTATTTCTGCGCAGAAGCATTTCATGGTGAAGATCTAAACCGGAAACGAGGCTAACCAATGACGGGAGTTGGTATTTTAGAACAGTAATGTCAGACTATGTGCCAAACCGGGACAGCCCGGCTCCCTATCAGCTGGATAAATCACCGACAGGACGGATGTTGATCAGGATCCACCTGTGAACCGGGTCGGTGAGTTCCTCCTCATTTCCTCTCATGTCCTGCTGGTTAAAGCAGAGCTCAGCTGTGTCTCTCTGCCTGCTCCGCCTTCATCCTCTCTCTCTCTCTCTGGGATTCAGTGGAGAATCAAAGCAGAGATGCTTTCTGAGTTGGAAAAACAGGATAATAACAATGGAGTCAGGTTTACTGATGATGCCACACTGGGTGGAGAGCATCAGTGGAAAGAGGCTCCACGCACCAGAGGCGGTTCTAGATGAAATGTATCAAGGGGGCTGGGACAGAGGCGTAGCCAGAAAATTTTTATAAGAGTGGCCAGACAATAACCAATGTATACTGAGGGGTGAACAAAAGCAGCTAGGCACCAGAACCTCAGGTGCCTATCTGGTATGTTGCAAGAGGGCATTGTTTAGTGCAGGGGTCTTCAACGTTTTCCAGGCCGAGGACACCCTCAAATTTAATAGCGAGATGGAGCAGGGACCCCCTAATTATATGTATTGTATCAAGTTGTGTTATATCAAACTGGTCCTATATTTACTCTATTACAGATGGATTAATGTAACAAAAGTAATTTTGCCCTGGAATTATTAAAGTATTTCTGATTCGGATTCCTCTTTGATGGGACAGGTTTTGTGAATGAAACAGTGTCCAGCTTGAAAGGGCTCCTGTGTGTCGCTGAATGTGTGCATTGATCATGGGGAGTTCTAGACGGGGGCCAATGGGGGCCAGTACTCCTGTAGATCATGTCCTGACCCCTGTTATGGCCCCTGTACTGAAGACCTAATACTCAAAGAAATTCTAATGATGATATGTGCTGGAACAGACATGGTTACTGATAGATCCTTTGGATCTATTTCATTCTTTTTCTTTACAAATTCTGCTTTACTAATTATTCAAAAACAATAAGGTGATAAGTGTGATTAAGTGTTTCAGCCCTAGATATAATATTACAAGGTAAAAACTGAAAAAAATAAACGTCTATTAAAGCCTGTATATATGATCTGCCAAAGGAAGGAGGAGTTTGGCTCTTAAAACAAGATAATTAAATACTATCTGTTTGAAATACGCTAATAGATTATCTTATTTTAAGCAAAAGTCATCTTATTCCATGTGCAAATTGTCTTGAGTCAAAATAATATAAATTTATTTGAAGATGCTGGTGAAGATTCTCAGTCATCCAGATTAGTCATTCCAAAAAAATAAAATCTAAAACAATGCACTGGACTTTGTTTCAAAGTTTGAAAACTTTTGAAAAAGCCTCCTGGATGGGAAGCGAGGTACAGGTGCTGGTCATAAAATTAGAATATCATGAAAAAGTAGATTGATTTCAGTAATTCCATTTAAAAAGTGAAACTTGTATATTATATTCATACATTACATACAAACTCATATATTTCAGATGTTTATTTTGTTTAATTTTGATGATTACAAATGACAACAAATGAAAATCTCAAATTCATCATATCAGAAAATTAGAATATTGTGAAAAGGTTCAAAATTGATGGCCCCTGGTGCCACACTCTAATCAGCTAATTAACTCAAACCACCTGCAAAAGCCTTTAAATGGTCTTTCAGTCTAGTTCTATAGGCTACACAATCATGGGGAAGACTGCTGACTTGACAGTTGTCCAAAAGACGACCATCGACACCTTGCACAAGGAGGGCAAGACACAAAAGGTCATCGCTAAAGAGGCTGGCTGTTCACAGAGCTCAGTGTCCAAGCACATTAATAGAGAGGCGAAGGGAAGGAAAAGATGTGGTCGAAAAAAGTGTACAAGCAAGAGAGATAACCGCACCCTGGAGAGGATTGTGAAACAAAACCCATTCAAAAATGTGGGGGAGATTCACAAAGAGTGGACTGCAGCTGGAGTGAGTGCTTCAAGAACCACCACACACAGACGTATGAAAGACATGGGTTTCTGCTGTCGCATTCCTTGTGTCAAGCCACTCTTGAACCACAGACAGCGTCAGAAGCGTCTAAAGAGAAACAGGACTGGACTGCTGGTGAGTGGTCCAAAGTCATGTTCTCTGATGAAAGTAAATTTTGCATTTCCTTTGGAAATCAAGGTCCCAGAGTCTGGAGGAAAAGAAGAGAGGCACTTCATCCACGTTGCTTGAAGTCCAGTGTAAAGTTTCCACAGTCAGTGATGGTTTGGGGTGCCATGTCATCTGCTGGTGTTGGTCCATTGTGTTTTCTGAGGTCCAGGGTCAACGCAGCCACATACCAGGAAGTTTTAGAGCACTTCATGCTTCCTGCAGCTGACCAACTTTTTGGAGATGCAGATTTCATTTTCCAACAGGACTTGGCACCTGCACACAGTGCCAAAGCTACCAGTACCTGGTTGAAGGACCATGGTATCCCTGTTCTTAATTGGCCAGCAAACTCTCCTGACCTTAACCCCATAGAAAATCTATGGGGTATTGTGAAGAAGAAGATGCAATACACCACACCCAACAATTCAGAAGAGCTAAAAGCCACTATTAGAGCAACCTGGGCTATCATAACACCTGAGCAGTGCCACAGACTGATCGACTCCATGCCACGCCGCATTGCTGCAGTAATACAGGCCAAAGGAGGCCCAACTAAATACTGAGTGCTGTACATGCTCATACTTTTCATGTTCATACTTTTCAGTTGGCCAACATTTCTATAAATCCTTTGTTTTTATTGGTCTTCAGTAATATTCTAATTTTCTGATATGATGAATTTGAGATTTTCATTTGTTGTCATTTGTAATCATCAAAATTAAACAAAATAAACATCTGAAATATATGAGTTTGTATGTAATGTATGAATATAATATACAAGTTTCACTTTTTAAATGGAATTACTGAAATCAATCTACTTTTTCATGATATTCTACTTTTATGACCAGCACCTGTAGGCGTTAGCGTAAAGGGCCTTGCCTAAGGACCCCCCATGGGATTCAGGGGGTATTTGAACCCGGACCGTATGTGTGCATGTAGGGTGAGCTGTAATAACTGTATTTTATGTTTTTATATTATTCTATGAAACATAACTGAATAGTTTGTTCAATTTTACATTACTACTCAAAATAATGTACAATGTAAAGTTATTATGATCATTGGTGGTGAATAGATCAGTTACTCAGTACTTAAGTAGCCTTTTTACCAAATACATCTTTACTCTTACTTGACCGAGTCATTGATGGGGTTCTGTTTTCTCCTAATGAAGATTATTTATTTCAGTTATCAAAATGGCATTATAGTAGTTGGATAGAGGATTAATATATTTATACTGGGTGTGGTTAAGCAGAAAACATTTGACCAAGAAAAATTAAACATAAAAATAACCAAAATTATGTAGAAATAATTATTCCCTTAAAGAACAGCTCTAAAACTGGTTGCTGAATGTGAGGTGAAGTCCTCCTCTGCCCACATCATGCAGTGTGCGTCACCTTCTCCTCTCCCCTGCAGAGCAGCGGGGGCCCTCAAGCAGCTGATGAGGCGGCAGATTGGCCGCAGGCGGCACTCTCGATGGTCTCCCCCACTATGAAGGCGGTGGTGGATGCCGTGTGGGCGGTGTGGAGCATCGGCACCTCCATCTATGACTATATCCACACCAACGCCATGGAGGAACGCATCCACGCCCTGGAGAACGTCATCACCATTCACCAGTGTGTGATCGGGCTGCTGAGTGCCGGCATGCTGGCGCTCTTCACCTACATCCTCTTCAAGAAGCTCTGACTGACTGGAAAGGGAATCAATGTGGGGTATGATGAAGCAAAGTAGGAAGGGTTTAAGGAGGATGGGTGGTAAAAACCAACATGGACGTCTGAACACTGTTTACATGTTCAAAGCAAGAGGACCCTAAATAATGCCATCCACACAGGAGGTTGCTTACTTCATTTTTTCATTTTCATTTCTGGATTTGTTTTTTCAGGGTGAACAAAAAGAAATTGTCCCCACCTTTGTATTGTCCGGGTGTTTTATGTGTTTTCTTAAGGTCTGACTAAATTGTTTTTTTATTAACATTTTGATTTCATACTTAGGTTTAAAATGCTCCTCCAAATTCCCATAAGGAATGAACGCCAAATACTTAAATTTAGCCTTAAACGATTTTAGATTAGCTAATAAATCAAAAAGCATTCAGACTCGTTACCTCTGGTTTCACAAGCTCAAGCTGTTGACTTATACACATCCAACACGTACTTCTCAGGTGATATATAAACATTTTACAGCATCATAGCCAAATGTCTCCAAGGGACATTTCACTTTATGTTATTGCTCATAAGATGGGTCATCTAATGTAAAAGATTAGAACGAAAAATAAATTAAAATTAATAAAAAACATTTTTTCACCAAAACACAAGGTCTAACACATTTAAAACCAGTTTGACATAAAAAAAAAATCTCTTCTGTTGTGGCTATGAAAACAGGCAGCTGCTTAATCAAAGAAGAGATCAACAGTTGTTACAGACTTGAACCTTTCTCATGATTTTTTGTATCACAACCACAAATATCCAATTTGTGATTGCAAGTAATGGAAGTTAATGTAATAAACCAACATAACGATGATATATGAAGCATATTACGGTGGCCAGGAGTGCAAACCAACATTACAAAATCTAAAACACTTTTACAAAACAAATTATCATTTCAGAAAACAAATTTACATTCCAAAAAAAAAAAAAAAACTTTTAGAAGTGGCATTTGGTCATATTTACTCTTTATTTGCAAAAATTAAAGGAGGGGAACCATTTTTCCCCTCCTTTAATTTTCTTAAGTTTCTGTCAGGCTGAAGGGACAAAAGTTGGAGAAACACCGATTATCTTGGCATTTAAAAAAAACAACATAAAATAGCGTAAGAAGACATCATTATTGTATTTATTTTACAAATTTTTCAAAAGAGCAACCGATTAAACTGAATGTTACAATGTTGATATGATTATATGAGCAGTTTTCACCGAGAAATGATCAGGAGCACCTTGAAAATGGTCAGATCCGCCTCTCTGGCTGGTTCAATTCCTCAAATTATCATTTGTTTTGGGACTTGTAAAAGTGTTTTGAATGTTTTTTTATTTGTTTTCTTAAAATTCCATTTGTTTTGAATTGTTAAAAATTTTTGTTTATTTTTATATGTGAATTTGTTTCCTGAAATGATCGTTAGTTTTAGAACTTGTAAAAGTTTTTTAGATTTTGTAATGTTGGTTTGCACCTCCTGGCCGCTGTAATATATTTTCCATAGAAAGGAATGAGGAAAGGTCTGTGCATGACTCGGTTCAAACCGCTAACCTTGAACCTATTCACATAATAGTGGCTCTGTAGATTTAAAAAAAAAAAGATTTCTGCCTTTGTTGCCGTTTTTAAAATCTAAAGTGGTCCACAGCAGAGGTTCCCAAACTTTCTGGCTCCAGACTTGAATAGTACTTGAATCGACTCATGTCCAAACTATTGCTTGAAGTATAAATATTTAATCTTAACATCTTTTTACTATAGGTATAATAGTAATGAAAACAGCATAGGGTAGGGTCATCTAGCTTAAAAATCGAAATATTTTTTCCTGCAAAATCCGATTAATAATTCTTTTGACTTAAGTTAATAATAAAAAAAAAAGACATATTGCGTTCAATTTAAAGGGTAATGAAACCCAAGCTGTGAGAGTTTGCCGCTAGCAGTATCTCGCTGTGAGCTATTTTATCAGTTATGAAGAATGAATTAAACTTTGTCATTACATTGTGATAAGAATAAAGCAAAGAAATGAACTCTCTGCATTTAACCCATCCCCTAGGGTCTTTACTTAAGGACCCAGAGTGGCAGTCTGTGGGAGAGGGGCTTGAACTCATAAACCTCTGGGATCCCAGTGCAATGCCCTAACCACTATGTCGCCACTCACCCGAGTACACATCTAAGGACAAAATTCCTATTTCCATTTACAAAAAAATTTATTAACCACCCAGCCTTAAAACAGCATAAACAATGTACTTTATATCTAATGTTTTTTTATGTCTTCAAACACACAAATATACTTAACCATTACCATGTTTAGTGATTAGTTGAATTACATTAAATTGAATTAAATTCAGGACGTGTTTAGCCCCAAATTCGATAACTTTAGGACACAAAGGTCTTAAGGTCGAACAAGAAATAGCCCTTAATAGTTTTGAAATGGGGCGAATATAAAGACAACGAAATGTTTGTTTTCACAATTATGCTCTACACTGCGGTGGTCTACTGCTTAAAATCCTGTTAAAATAGATCGTAGTTAATGTTTAAGTTGACTGTGTGAATACCTTTGCAAGGTTTTCTATGTAGACTGTCTGCATCTTGTTATGGTCTTCATCATTGGAGATTCTATTAGCTGTTATACAAAAGTTAAATGTGCTATCTAGAATATCTAGATCTATTTTATGTACCTTTTCCCCATAAACAGTGTATACCTCATAACCAAGACTGTAGGTGCCAATGCTATTAAAAGTAAGCCACTAAGTTAAAGTGTCCTTAAAAACCAGGTATACATAGAAGCTTGTCTTATATTTTTTACCATGAAGTTTCTATTACAATACTTATGGTGAAGGTAATCACTCTCTACCTGTGCTGGTGTTTAAGATTAAACTTAAAACCAAAAGAAGTTGAGCTTGAACATTATTTTAATATAACAGCGAACTTGACAGAACAAGTGTTTTGTTTTTGTTAACACAGCTTCATCTTTTTGAACAGGAATAAAACACACGCTGTGAGTCACAGACCCGAAGATCAGAACGATGAATGTCTCCTAGAACATGACTAGAACCCTACAGAAGAAACAACCGGCTCTTCTTCATTCAAAATGCGGTTCATCGATTAATTTTTTTGTTCAAAACCAAAAATGATGTAAAAAACACTTTAACTTAGAGAGAAACTTTGGTTCTGTTGAAAAAGTCAAAAATACAGTTAGCAGATTGGTTCTGGTGGAAGGATCTGTTCATTAATTCCAGCTAAAGGCCACTATTAGTTCATATTCAGACATAACTGTAAAAGGTTGCAAAAACCAACCACCATCATTTCTGATAACTGCAGACGTGTTTGGCTGCGTCTCTCTGGATTCCTTCACAAGTGTCCGGTCTGACGCAGAGTGTATTTGGAGGTGAACCTCTCCACGCTCTCCCCCTCCAGGAACTTCATGGCTCTCCAGTGGATCTTTGCGCAGTTTTGCGGCTGGCCGAGCGCTCCCATCTCCTCCTGGATGTACTGCAGCCACAGGTCTTCAGGACAACAGAGAATGTTACACTTTAAATATAAGAATTTAGGAAATGTCCTCCATGTTGTTGTGTGAAATACAATTTCCCCTTATCCTAAAGTTAAGCAGCCTTCGTACAAATGTATTTATTAGGGCTGAAACGATTCATCGAGTAACTCGAGTAACTCGATTACAAAAAATCCTCGAGGAAATTTATCTGCCTCGAAGCTTCGCTAAATTTATTGTATTGTAATAAGCAATGCTGTTAAATACGCAGCACACTGGTCTAGCCGGAGGGTTTCTGTGTTGCACAACGCTACCACTTCCGTTAGCGCCTGGCGCGCTTGTGCTAAGTTTGTAGCTATGGAGGGAACCGGAGAAAGCTCAGAAGGAGAACCCCGAAAGCGACAAAAAATGTCCAAAGTTTGGGAACATTTTAGGCTAAACAGAAAGGACAACACAGCGCAATGCATCCACTGCAAAGCAGAATTGGCGTACCACAACAGCACGACATCAATGTTGCAGCATCTGAAGAGAAAACACCCGCTACATGCATCCAACTCGTACACGGTTGCCAACAGGTAACGTTTATGTCCTCTTTGCTAACTACGTTGTGTGATAATCTGCCATGTTATAGATGTAAATTGAGGCACATTATTTTGCTAACGTTACATCTAAACATAGCGGTTACTTAACCGGGTGTAGTGTAAATTGTATGCGAGGGTGGAACTGAGAGAAATTATGCAGGACTTAATGTAAGTTTGTTAATAAAAATACGCAGCAACAGATTACAGGCATAAGCTGAAAAGCATTTATTTATTGGTGTCTTTCCATCCTGAAAAGTTACAGTCTTTTCTTCTCGCTACTGTTATGTATGAATTAGAAATTTTTGATTAATATTTTTTGTAGTAATTCTATATTTGTTTATACCTAAGCAATCAAGAATAAATAATAGCATCGTTTTAATAAAAATAGCAACATTTTTGCATTTTATCATGACTAGTTAAGGCTGCAGAACTCTGTACAAACTCAAACCTTTACATTTAGACATTTTTATAAGCATATTTATGAGCCTGCCACTTTATTATTTGAATATAATTTAATATCTTATAACTTTTCTTCAAGTTAAAGCAAACTACTGTTACAAGTAAACTTTCTAAACTACAAACATTTAACTGTTAGGGATGCTCAAAAAGGAGATATTGGACTGATCTGGACTAACTGGTGTTATTGCAGATTTGCCAATAGTTTATTTTATAAATTTTTTTTATCCGATTACTCGATTAATCGTAAGAATAATCGATAGATTACTCGATTACTAAAATATTCGTTTACAACAGCCCTAGTATTTATTGAAAATTAATCTAGTTTTTAGTGGAGATAGAGTATTTACTTATCTGCATCTGTTTAACTTAAAGCTGTAAATAAACTATTTATCAAATTAACTATTTGTATGTCTACTGGTTTTGCCAACTGGGACTCACCATCATCTTCGATGCCAAACTCCTGCAGCGCCCTCTCATAATAGTCTCTCAGATGGTTCATCTTGGGGGTCTCCTGCAGATCAATTAAGTTAATCGCTAGAGTTAGAGCCAGGCCAAAGCATCTGCAAACTAAATCATTGCGTATTTCCTTTCAGTTCATATTTTCCCTAAATCAGACATTACTGCCAGCAAT